CAGGGACTAGGGACCCAAAGGGCTTCTTCCCGGATGGTACACCCTGCGACAGTTGTGAGCACGGGCAGCTGAGGGAAGAGCCAGCTGTGTTCGAGCAGGTGGGAGGGTCTCAGGGCCCCAGTGCCAGCAGGTGGGGTCCAAGGCAGTCAGGGCACATGCTGTACGCCACAGCCCAGAGACGCCGCAGCAGGCAAACGCAGCCATGGGAATCAGCCGCCTTCGGTTCTCCACAGCTCCCTTTGAGTTTTAAGATAAAAGCCCAGGAAACAACTTTCTATTTTTCTCCCGGGAGACGCTGGGATTCCAGACTCAGAGCATGACCATCAGGAGAGCTGTCACAGGAAGATGGCGCTTCGCTCTGCGGAGTGCTCCTCCCTCGACCCCAAGTGAACTTCCGACCCTCTGGCACACCCTCTGCCAGCACCATGTGAGGTCGGAGCTGAATGCCTGAGTGAACCTGTGCCAGGTGATTTTCCACCACAAGCAGTTCTTGGCTAGTGCCATCTCTGCCTCTGCATGGAGCACCAAGGTCAAGGACGAGGATATGGGACCTCATCAAAAGTCTCCGCGATGGAGCTGCGAGCTGGTGGCAGCAAATCATCTCAAGAATAACAATCGTCATCGTCATCACCACCATTACCATCACTATCATCACCATCATCACCATCACCACCATCACCATCAAAACCATCATCGTCACCATCACCATCACCATCACCATCATCACCGCCATCACCACCATCAGCATCAGCATCATCAAAATCACCATCATCACTATGAGTATCATCACCATCACCATCACGATCACCGTCGCCATCACAATCATCACCATCATCACTTCACCACCATCATCACCATCATCACTGTCATCATCATCACCATCACCATCACTGTCACCATTATCACCACCATCTCTACCATCATCACCATCATCATCATCACCATCATCACCATCATTATCACCACCATCATCACCACAGTCACCATCACCATCATCACCACAATCACCATCACCACCATCATCATCACCATCACCATCACCATCATCGCCATCATTATCACCACCATCACCATCATCACCACAATCACCATCATCACCATCATCATCACCATCATCACCACCATCATCACCATCATTATCACCATCATCATCACCATCACCACCATCATTATCACCACCATCATCACCATCATCACCATCATCGCTTCACCACCGCCGCCATCAGCATCAACATCACAATGACACTGGCAAGCCTGTACTGAACAGCTGTTATGTGCTAAGCACTGAGTACCTGGCATGTACTATCTCACTTAATCTTTACATTATGAAATGGTTTATTCTGTAATTCCTACTGGGGCACAGAGAGGACAAGCAAGTCGCCCAAGTTCACACAGCTAATAACAATGCAGCCAGGATCCAAGGGCAGGCGGTGGTGCTTTTCACCACTGCACTGAAACTAGGAGAGATTTCCCAGTCACATTGCCTGCAGGACGATTCTGCGAGAGTGGCCGCTGACAATTCCAGCAGCTGTCCCACGTCACGTTAGCTCCCGCAGGATTCCAGAGTGCCCCAAATCACCAGCCCCCTGCCCCTTCCCTGCCCACTGACGCCTGCACTGCAGACAGACGGGAAAACGTAGCACGCCCTTCTAAACTGCTCTCTATGGGAGCGAAAATTAAATCACAGCTCCCAAACTCCGATTCCAAACATTCCTCACTGGACAGCACACCCGACTTCGCAAATTCTTCACATTGCTTCTTAACAGCTGAATTCCAGACTTTGGGGTCCCCCGGCAGTGAGTGAGAAAGCTGGGTGTGCTGGGATGACAAGACTCCCATGTCCCTGGCAGCCTGCTTGTCCTTGTCACCTGCAATGCTCCTGTCGCGGTCACTCTTGCCGGTGTGTACAGGTGCCAAGCACAATATCTTAGTTTTGCTGTTGATTCACTAAATCCTCCCAGCAATCAGTTAGCAGAGAGATTTCTTTAATTTTGCTGATGAGGAAAACAGAGTGAAGAGAGACGGGACATTTCCCAGGCCCGTGCGGCCACACACGGCAGAGCCCACGTTGACACGAGGCGCTGTGACCACAGCCCTGCTGTCCCCAGGACCGCCCTCGCCGCCTTGGAGTCTGCCTGTGAAGTGTGTGGTGGCAGTCCCGCCCCATGACAGGTAGGGAGCCCCGGTCCCCATCTGATGACTGCCGAGGCCAGGGGTCTCGCAGGACCCCGCGGGGCCCGCGTCACTGATGTAGGACCCGCTGGGCTCGGATGATCCCAGGTGAGAGGGACCATCTCA